GAGGTGATGGGACCAGTGGCCATGATCTTAGTTTTTTTGATGTTGAGCTTCAGACCATTTTTTGCGCTCTCCTCTTTCACCCTCATTAAGAGGTTCTTTAATTCCTCCACTTTCTGCCATCAGAGTGGTGGTTGAGAGTGTAAAGGTTTGCAATTTTAAACACCTCAAATTGGCGCAACTAGCTAACAGCTTCTTTACTTATTTTGGATGTTTTTAAAATGCCAGAAAAAGCAAGAGCATAATAATTAATTGTGTGAACTGTTTCCATTGAAGAATGCCATCTTGTGTGGTAAGAATGCTTAAAAACAATTGGAGGGAATTATTTTAATGGAAAATTAACTTTCATGTTTTGTAATTGTAATCAGTAAGAGTTGCAGCCTCATCCTACATATATTTACTCGTATTACTCACAAAGACATCAATTAAACTTTGGTTGAGCTATTCCAAGGCAAGCATGTTTACAATATTTAACTTTGGTTTGCTTTTGTTTGTTATTTCTGAACTTCCGTAGCTGGTTCACATAGTCATTAGCTAAAATGAATGTGTGACAAAGGCTTTCTCACTATATTAGATTCAAGATATATGCCAAGATGCATCAGTATGATAATATCCTGCTGACTCTTAAAATAGTGCATTCTGCATAAAATGCATGTTGAGGAAGTCTGAAAAAACATTTCAGATTGTGCCTATATTGTCTTAATGCTAATTGCTTTGTATTTGATATAACTTAATGTAATAGTCTATGGAAAGTAGCTCCACTTGATCATTTTGTTCTTTTTTGTTTAGGATTAGGAGTTTATGGAAATCTGATGTAAAAACACAGATAAAGAAGCCAAACCAAACTTGGAAAATGGCAGGTTTCCTAGACAATTTCCGATGGCCTGAATGTGAGTGTATTGATTGGAGTGAAAGAAGAAATACAGTTGCTTCAGTGGTAGCTGGGATCTTGGTAAGACTTGAAACAGACAACAAATGCCAAATAAGTCTCTTTGAGGCAAATTTCTTTCTTTCTTTCTGATTTTAATATCTTCTAATGTGCAGCAAATATTTTTTGTAAGAATTTGTAGCATCTTTTTTCAGCAACTTTGATTATTTTCTAATGCCATTTCATCAGAGGATCTGAATCAGTTTTAGGTTGGCAGAAAATGTCATATCATACATGTAATCTTTTATAGGTAAAGAATGACTTGCATTCTATTTCTCATAGTCATACAGTAAGAATACGGTAATCTCTTATAACTGTATGTTTGAACCTGGAGACTGATGTCAGAAATTCTTCCTATTTGCCATAGCTAACCAACTAGTAATTATAAATCTTTTTTTTAATTTGAAGATTTTGTTATATAGAAGCTTTGACCAGCAGCTGGCAAAAATTGCTGTGTTCAGTGGGGACCAGGAAGCTAAGCATAGGTTTGCAGCCTTAGGTGGCTGTGTGCTGTGTACTTACTTGTATATGTGTCCTGGAGGGATTTGTAGGCGGGAAACCCACCTTGTTTAATCCTGCACTGTTAGTTGACCATTCTTGTTTGCATCCTATGCCCATGTCCAAGCCATTTCTCTTTAAGTATTGCCAGTCTTGCTAGACCAGCCAGAAGAAGGACACTTGGGTTGGTGTCCTTATCTTGCCAGCAAATGCCCTAGAAATATGAGCTGCAAAATGAGGTGCTTTTTTTTAAAACGGGAAGCAACCACTTACTGCTGTACGACAGAATAGAGCTAACATAAGTTTGTTAGATTAGCATTACAGTGGTGCCTCGCTTAACAATGATAATCCATTCCAGGAAAATCGCCGTTACCTTTTTTTTTAATAAATGGGAAGCAACCACTTACTGCTGTATGACAGAATAGAGCAAACATAGGTTTGTTAGATTAGCATTACAGTGGTGCCTCGCTTAACAATGATAATCCATTCCAGGAAAATCGCCGTTAAGCGAAAACATCGTAAAGCGAAAATAAAAACCCCATTGAACCCTTTCAATGCGTTCCAATGGGATAAAAACTCACCGTCCAGCGAAGATCCTCCATACGGTGGCCATTTTCGCTGCCTGTATAGCGAGGAATCCGTCCCTAAACACAGTGGGGAGCCATTTTAATCACCCGGCAGCCATTTTGAAACCGCCAATCAGCTGTTCAAAAAACATCATTTTGCGAAGAATCGGTTCCCGAAGCAGGAAACCGATCATCGCAAAGCGAAATTCCCCCACTCAGACCATCGCTTTGCAATCGCAATTGCGATCACAAAAAGATTGTTGTTAAGTGGTTTCGTCGTAATGCGGGGCAATCGTAAAGCGAGGCACCACTGTACTTGCAGTAATGGTTAATTTGGCATTATTCCAGTTGTACTTTGTAAATGTTATGTAGTGGTAGTTGGTTTCCCAAGTGACTTCTTCTTCCTATAAAGTGATGGAAGTGTAGTATAGATTCAGATTAATCAATTTTGGAAAGTAATCTTATGAAATATTAAATTTTGATTCTGGTACAGTTTATTTCTTTATTGTGTTTAGTTTGATTTACTTCTTTATTGTGCTTAGCGTGTTAAAGAATATGGAGAAACATTTGTGTCTCTTCTGTGCTACTGAATGAAAATATTTATTTTTACAAAATAAACGTAATTCTTTTGCAGTCCTATATTTACATGATAAAGGAGTATGAGGTTATGCAATTTTAATATTATATTTTAATACTATATTTATTGTATACCGTTTTTGTATGTTTAAATGCAGCTACTTACAGTTAAGTCCATGTGGTGAACTGTACAATCTCACACATCGAAAAGTAGAAGTCATATTTGCCTAGTGACATTCCATTAGTTCTGATGCATACTGCTTGACTCACCTACACTATGGTCTCTGTACTGATAACAATAATGGCAGCAAGCTCCTCCTGCTTCAGGAGATGTCATTAATATTTCTGGATATTGGAAAGAAAAACATCCCATAGTAGTTATACTGGCATCTGTTATGGGATGGCTTGTTGGGATCCATAAGATTATAAGCCCAGTAGAGTGTTGGAGTGAGAAGAGAAGTTAGTTGTGTTACATGGGTGACCTTTTTGTAGATTTCTCTTGTAGTTTAATGATAATCTGTTCTGCAGTTTTTTACAGGTTGGTGGATAATGATAGATGCAGCAGTAGTTTACCCGAAGCCAGAAGAGATGAACCATGCATTCCATACTTGTGGAGTGTTTTCTACATTAGCTTTTTTCATGTAAGTATAGATGAAGATAGTTCCATATTTTGCAATAGCATTTACATGTAATTGCCTCATACAGAAAAAGAGAACTTACAAGGGAAACCTGCAAAGATTTTCCAGTCCATATCTTTTTCTTTCACATTGATTCGCTGGATGGTGATTGCTTATCATGATTAGAATGCTGTGGAGGGGTGTTTGTGAATCAGTGAAGTTGAGATATGACTGTTTAGAGACATAAGAAAAACTGAGAGATGACAGTTGAGAGAGAGGGTAAGAGACAGTCTTGTGATAGTGAGGGGAAAGGAGTTATGAATATAGTGCATAGTATGGAGTGTGTAGGAACAGCTAAGTGTCAAGTTAAACATATAGGGAAAGTAATGAGAAAGTGTGTGAAAATACTATAAAAGATTATATAGATTATTACCTTTCCCTTTCTATCCTGATACCTGTGTTTCCCTAATAAACCCCTTTTGTTTAATTCTTAGAAAAACAATCCTTGTTGTTCATCTATAGGTCAAATTTAAAAAAATTGTTAGCAGTCAGGACAAAAAGTGTAAAACATATGTAGCTTAGGTGATGCAGGGCCAAGACTTAGATAAGAAGACAATAAAACTTACATTAAGAATTTTTTTTTTTCACTTGAAAACTTAATAACAACCACCCCAACTGGGCTAGAAGGCACTGTCTGGTTGGCACAGATAAAGGGGCAACCCCAGATACTTTGGAAAGGTGTAGGGGTTGTTGTCCTTAGGGCTAACAGCTAACCAAAGAAGTGGCTGGGTATTAACCTGAATGTACCAGTGAGGTGCCTTGTGGCTGCCTGGAGAATATGTAACTCACTGAGGAGTGAAAACAGTGAGAAGGGACATCCCAGGATTGTGGTACTGTCTAACTGCCATTCCACACACACACACCATGTGTCCTCATGCTGCCATATTCCCCCCAAAATAAGACAGAGTCTTATATTAATTTTTTTCTCCAAAAAATGTGTTGGTGCTTATTTTCAGGGGATGTTTTATTTTATAGTCATGTCATCATCTTCTGGTTGCTGCACAATGGTGAAGAGTGGGGTTTAACTTAACTGGGGAGTATTTTGGGGGTAGGGTTTATATTAGGAGCATCCAGAAAAATCATACTAGGGCTTATTTTCAGGTTAGGTCTTATTTTTGGGTAAACAGGGTAGTTACCTGCTTTACTGATTTCTTCCTGCTATTTATTAGTCATTATCATTGGCCGCATTAGAAATTAGGTTTAAGAATTGTTGTTAGTAACCTGCACAGAAATTAGTAAACAAAAGTTACAGATCTAATATTTGTGGGAGAGAGCAACGAATGAATGGTGGACTCCTGATTTTAATTACTGTTTAGTGTAGCATTTTTGTGTTGATATCTGTTTAGATTTAATATCTGTGGAGTCAAAGGGCAGAATGCAAACATGAAATAGCTTACAAAATAGACAGGGTTTACCTTGAAGTTCTAATTTTTAGGTAGCATATAGCAATCTCTTCTGCCTTTTAGCTAAAAAGCTTTATTTGTGTTGCAGGATAAATGCTGTGTCAAATGCTCAGGTGAGAGGAGACAGCTACGGTGATGGATGTTTAGGAAGAACAGGTGAGAATATTTCTTCTTATGCAAATAAACTTTTGAGTTCTGATCTGAAACTTTGCTGTACATGCAGAGGGTGAGGCATGCCCTAACTCAGCAAGTTAGCATGCAATGTATTATGCTTGTGTCGTTGCTAGAAGGTTATGGTGTGGGAATCTTGTTTCATTCATTATCCAGTTGGTGGAGCTGCACCGATGCTGCCAGTGTCATCAACAGTTGGCAGTAACGTTATCCACCAGCTAAGATTCAGAGGATCCTGAAGGATTGTTTTTGACCTGGGAAAGCCTTTAGGAGCTTTAAGGCAGGGAATGGAAGTCTTTGATATCCATAAATTGCTGCTAATAGTCCACTACTGGGCTCTGAAATGCTTCCTTAGATCAAAAAAAGTTTCTTATGGAGGTTTGGAAATAGGGAGGGGGGTGAATAGGAAGCTTTAAATTAAATTAAAGATTAACATAATCTTTGCGAAGGCTTTCACGGCCGGGATCTAATGGTTGTTGTGGGTTTTTCGGGCTCTTTGGCCGTGTTCTGAAGGTTGTTCT